CTGCTCGTCGCCTGCCTGGGGCTCTGCGGGGCGCGCGGGGCGCCCGAAGGTACGCGCCCCAACTTCTCCTCCCCGCGCCCTGCCCGGCTGGCCAGGCGCGAGGGCGTTCCCTTGGAAGGGTGGGCGGAGGGCAGGGGAGGGCGCGGAGTCGAGACCTGGGGAGGCGCTGCGCTGGGCTCGCCCCGCAGCCCCGGACCCCGACCCGGGCATTGCGAAGCCGGGCGGCCTGGGGCCCCGAGCTCGGCCTTGCCACCTGGGCTGGACGCCCCGCCCCGCGCCGCCCCTCCGCCCCGGCCCGTTCCTCCCCCGGCCTGTTCCTCTCCTGGGCGCCATCTGCCCCGGGACTTGCGTTGTAAAGTTGGCCTAGAGTCCCAGGATGACCGCCTGACCCCCTCTGTCCACCCTTCCTTGCCGTCCTCGGTTAGTTGTGCCCCCAGCTCAGCGCTGGCAGGGCTTCCTCGGTGCACGTGGTCCCGAGGCTTTTGGGGGCCCACGTTCTTGGGTGATTGGCCTTGTCCCCAACTTAAGTACCTCCATATAGGAGTGTAACATTTCTGGGTCCAATTAGGTACAAGCTTTCCATTTCTATGGTGTTTTTTTTTTTTTTTTTTAAAGATTACTAAGAACTTACTTGGAAAGTTCATGTGTTTTCATGACTGCATGTTAGATGCATGTATGTGTGCATGCATGCATGCATGTTGATACTGGGGCTTGAACTCAGAGCCAGGGTAACTGCCTCTTAACTATGCCGCTTCCAACTTTTTGGTACTTAATTGGAGATAAGAGTCTTAGGGACTTTTCCTCCCCAGGCTGGATTCGAACTCCTATCCTCAGATCTTAGTCTCCTAAATAGCTAGGATTATAGGCGTCCAGGAGCCGTGCATCTTTGAAATTGAATTCAGTTCAACACAGACTCCCTTTTAGACTGAGTGTTAGACAATGCAGTCTAAATCAGACATCATGGACCAGCCTAAGTCCCCCCCCCCCCCCCGCGGGAGGTGGATGAGATTGGTTGGACTTGTGTCCTGTACCTTCCTTATTGTCTTCCTTACTTCTTGGGTCTTCCTCCTTCCCCTCACCTTCTTCTTCCTGTCTGGTTCCCAGACTGCAGGCTGGGGCTGCTGTGACTGGGGCCTTCTGAGGAAGGTGTGAGCTGCAGGCCGGGGAGATCCAGGAGGACAGGGGGTGGACTGATTGCATGATGATGGGTGGGAAGACAGTAATGGTTAGAGAAGGGTGAAGGAAGCCGAGGGCGGGAGACAGATGGACTCGTGCTCAGGTCTCTGTGCTCTGTCACATTGTCAGAGGGTCTTTGCGTAAATGACTTTGCTGGGTCTTGACTTTGCTTCTGTAAAATCGACATGTAATAACTTCTTCAGAAAGACTTGGCAAAAATCCAATGTATGACTGCCGTAGTAGCTGGGAACATGCAGTAAGCGCTTGTTTTCCATCCTTCTCTGCTCATGATCCACCATTTCTCCCCTCCCTGGAAATGGGTTAAACATCCCTTTAAGGGTAAAGAATGAGGATTAAGGAGCTTTGTTGAATATAGAACACAACACACTTCCACATGTATGTTTGCCTTGGCAGTGATTGCATGATGATATTTTTCTATTCTTCCTCCTTGGCTCTGGTTATGTATGACCAATATTCTGTACTAAAGTCTTACCAAACATCTACTTGGGAGCAGTTAAAATAATGTTTTCTTGAGTAGCTTAGGTGATCGCTGCTATCAGTTCTTGAAAGAAACAGGCTAATATGTGATCAGCTTGCTAGGTACCATAGTAGAAAGCTATCTTTGTCTAGCAAAAGGTATTGACTCTGTTAAAATATCATTAGCATATTTGTCTTGTATAATTCTGTTTGTAAATCAGTAGTACTGTTATTACTTCCTCAAGGTAAGCACATTACCAGTAACTCAGTATGCCAATATTTCTACTTAATATTGGTAAGTTTGACTACCGTCTTATTAGATCTCTTTAGTAATTTATTGCTCTTACTTTCTAACAATGGATTGACTGGAAGCTTGTCTAGAAAAGAAATGCCTACACTGGAAAGGGATTTCACAGATATAACTGTATTTGGACTTTTGATGTGCACCGATTATCCTGAACAACCTGAGCGGCAGGAAACCTTAATTGCAAAATATTTTATAGCAGGTAGACAGGAGGACCAGGGTTAGAGAAGGAGATGTGACCAGGGAAGCAGAGGTCAGAGTGATGTGATTACTGGCTGAGGTGTTATGGGAGAAGCTAAGAAATGGAGGTAGTCCCCAGGATCTGGAAAAGGCAAGGAAAGATTTCCCCCAGGGCCTCTATACGAAGGCAGGCCTGTAACACCTTGAGTTTAGTTCAGTGAGACCTACTTCAGACTTCTGACCTCCAGAGCTTGGAATATCGCCCATTTATGTTGTTTTAACCTATTAAATGAGTGGTAAGTGTTATAGCAGCAAAAGGAAACATACAATAAATGATAATATAGGTGCCATCAGAGAGGAATGAGGGGCTGGAAGCATTGACAACTCCGAGCAGGAAGCTTTAAGGAAGGCTCGTTCCTGTCAGCCTGGCTATAGAACTGGCCAGCCTGGCTCCAACTGGAGCCTGAAAACTTTCTAACTGGTGGGGGACCAATTGCAAGAAAACACACAGAATGCTACATGTGGAGAACAGGTTCCACATCCACCCTCCACAAGCATCCTGGGCAGTACAAGCTTGGTGGCACTGAGGGAGCTTGTCAGCCCATTCAGGGCAGGCTGGGTAGAAGCCTTACAATTCCAGAGGATGTTTATTGCTTCAGAGACCCCAAGGATGGTGCCCCCCTCGAGTTGGGTCTGACACAAGAATCTTCCATTGGTAAGAGGTGAGGAAAGGAGCAGATTTTTTTTCTTTGTAACCTGACATCTTAGCTCAGAGCAATGGGCATTGGGGCTAATATTTGGGAGATGGATGGAGAGTTGAGAGCAAGAAGGCAGATGGTATAGATTCCCTGGCTTTACCGGGCTGTCCACAATCTGCATCTTCAGGGTAGGCTCAAGCCTACTACTCTCTTCTCTCTGCCCTCTTCCAACAGTGTAGCAACTCAACATAAGGGTATGCTGTTAGTGCTATCTTTGCTTCTGTTCCCTGAGCATCTGGTCAACCACCAGCCCTTCACAATAAAGCAAATATTTCTTAGTTCTTTGACTTTCTATTCTGCTTCAGTTTAACAGACCTGAGTTTTGTGGCAGAGACTTTTACAATTGTCCCTGATGGGAAGAAATTCCCACAAATAAAGAGATTGGATCTCTGCGAGCCTATTGGATGTTTGTGCTAAGTTATTTCTTACTTGTAAAGTGAACTATCTCATAGAAATATTCAGCATCTGTTTGACAAACATATGATGAGATTACAGGGTGTATAGATTTGTAAAGCAAAATGTGGCTTGCTTTCACAAGTGAGGTTATTAATCTTAAATTATACAGAATGAGTTAGGACTATTTTTTTAATCAGGATCTCCTCTTAGAACTATATCTTTGGATTTTATACACAGCACAGAGCTGTTTTGTTTGTTTCTTATTTTGTGACATCTGTAGAATATATTCCATGCACTAAAAGGCACAATATAGAATTATCAGAAATTTTAAACAATAAGAAGTTAATTGAAATTTTCAGTGGAGGCAAACATTTCTGAAATCTTTTATAAAATACTTTCCTAATTTGTTTCCACCCTACTCACTTTTTCCTTACACAGCCACCTGGCTGATCTTTCTGAAACATAAACTGATCATTCTCTCCAATTGAAGGACATTTAATACTTCTCTGTTAGCCAGGTGCTAGTTGCTCACACCTGTAATCCTAGCTACTCAGGAGGCTGAGATCTGAGGATTGCGTTCAAAGCCAGCCTGGGCAGGAAAGTCCATGAAACTCTTATCTCCAATAAACCACCAGAAAACCGGAAGTGGCGTGGTGGCTCAAGCGGTAGAGCACTCGCCTTGAGCTGAAGAGCTGAGGGACAGTGCTCAGGCCCAGAGTTCAAGCCCCACAACCGACAAAAAACAAAACAAAACAAAGTCTCTATTGTCTACAGAATAATGTTCAACTTCTTAACATAGTTCATAAGTCACTCCCTCCCCACCCCATGAGCCTCTGCCAGGGGAATCCAGTTGGTAAGTTATTCATCTGCTCCCCCAAATTTCATTGACACTTTTTTTTGTTATATATGCATGAACACAAGGCAAAAGACAACCAAGACATTCTTCTCAGGTTCTCTTTCTCCATAAAGTAGTATTGGAACAGGGCAGCAAATATCCTAGGCCATTGGTCCAACTGTGATGGGAGAGGAACCAACACACATATAGCATGGAGGGTTGTGGTCAGGAGAGACCAAGCAAGTGCTGCCTTTGCTTCAGGTATTGGCATGATTCTACACATAGGTAACTATGCTTGGGTTCCTTGTACAAGTGTTGAAGACACACTCCCCTCCTCTCCAGTGTGCTCAGATGCATGTCACCAAGTAGGCTTAGTGCTAGAGTTCTAGCTGCTCTCCTCAGTCACATGAAGTCTGTGAGACTGGGAGCCCTACCTAATGTGGTAGAATGTGTAGTAGCTCCTAGAGAAAGATATGAAAGGGTTTCTTACTACTAGAGCAATATTCTTTCAAACCAAAGTTCCCCCTCACCCCCGACCAAGTACTAGAGTTTGAACCTAGCGCCTCACACATGTAATCTACCACTTGAGTAATGCCTCCACTCAACTTTTTACTGGTTATTTCATAGATGGAGTATTGCAGACTTTTTTTGCTCAGGCTGGCTTTGAACCATGATCCTCTGGATCTCAGCCTCTTGACTGGCTAGGATTATAGATATAAGCCATTGATGATTGGCAACTTATCCTTTCTTAAGATAGTGCCCAGCCAGTATAACCTGGACTCTGGGATTTTGTGAGGAGACAATGTCAATTCCTTTTTCAAAGCCAAGCTACAGTGTAGATTCTAAGTTTGTCCCCTAACTTGGCTACAAGCTTAGTGAGACCTCCTCTTCCTCCTCTTCCCCTTCCTCTTCCTCCTGCTCTTTTTTCTTCTCCTCTTCCTTCTTTTTGTCGGTCATGGGGCTTGAACTCAGCTTGGGAGAGCTTCTATGCTCAAGTCTGGCACTGTCTATCACTTAGAGCCACAGTGACACTTCTGGTTTTCTGGTGGTTAATTGAAGATAAGAGTCTGATAGACTTTTCTGCCCTGACTGGCTTCAAACTGTGATCCTCAGGTCTCATCCTCCTGAGTAGCTAGGATTACAGGCATGGACCACCAGTGCCCAGTTCTGCGAAACTTTCTAATAACTAAAGTTGACAGCTATCAGTTCTGATGGAGTTGATAAACTCTACAATACACACATTCATCTGCAAAATGGAGTCCTTCTTTCTGCAACTAGAGAACCCGGATAGTGGTTGAGGGTTCTGAAGAAGAAATGACCCTTCAGAGATGTCCTAAGTTGAATGAGAGAGCACTGAGCCTTTAGACATCCATGTTAGATCTGTGAGTCATCTCAGAAGTCAGCACGGCCTTGGACAACATTGCCTTGCTCAGCAGCTCAGAGTAGAAGAGGGGATGAGGCTAATGTAAAGTGAAATAATTGTGCATAGTAAATTTACTAACTTGTGCTTTTTATTCCCCATAGCATCTTTTTATGGTGAGAGCTACGTGGAGCTCCACATCGTAGAAGTTTCCTCTGAGCTATCTCTTCGATTAAAGTTTCAAACCAGCCAGCCATGGGGGTTACTTTTCCTTGCAGCTGGGAAAAATGATTATTGCATAATAGAAGTTGTATCAGGAACTGTACAGGTATGATTTTTCAAAAATCCTCAAGATAAACAGGCATTCATATATTAAGAGATGTAAGTGATAAATAGAAAAATCAGCTGTACAAATTTATTACTATTTTCTCGCTGGTATACTGTGATATGCTATTTGTAACAGATGGAATCTTTCTCCATTTTTGCCACCATGTCTTAAATAAATAAATAAATAAATTTTGTGTTGGCCTTGGGGCTTGAACTCAGGGCCTGGGTACTATTCTTGAGTTTCATTTTGCTCAAGGTTAGTGCTTCCAGCTTGTTCTGAATAGTTTATTGGAGATAAGAGTCTCATAAAAATTTCTGCCTGGGCTATCTTTGAATAGCGATCTTTAGATCCTGAAGAGCTAGGCATGAGCCACCAGCACCTGACTATGTCTTAAATATTTTGACTTTAAAGTTTTCTTACTTCCATATGTAGTTTATAAGTGTAGAAAAAGTCTTTATGTCCAACCTCAACTATCCATCTTCCTGTTTTCTGTTGCTGTAACAAAATAATTGAGGCCGGGTAATTAACAAAAGAAAGACATATGTTTTGACTCATGGTTCTGAGGTCTAAGCTGGAATCTGCTTGGCTTTTAGTGAGGGCTTTGTGGTAGAAGGAAGCAATTGGTGAGGGGGGGTGGCAAGGAAGCAGACTTTGCTTTATAACGTGATATGACTAATCGACTCCCACAAGAGAACTCAGCTGGTGCTGGGGACTCACACCTGTAATTCTAGCTATTCAGCAGGCTGAGATCTGAGAATCATGGTTCAGAGCCTTCCAGGGCAAGAAAGTCCATGAAACTCTTATTTTCAATTACTTACCCCAAAACCTGGAAATGGAGCTGAAGCTCAAGTGGTAGAGCTCTAGACATGAGCAAAAATGCTTAAGGACAGCTCTAGGATCTGAGTTCAAGTCCCCACTCCCCATCTTCCCCCAAAAAAGAGATAAGAAAAAAAGAGAACTCATTCTCAAGAATGAAAAACATGAATCTCTTTAACAACCTAATCATTTCTTTGAGACCTCAACACTTCTCAACACTGCTGCAGTGCAGAATAAGAGTGAACATTAGTTTTGGTGGCTACAAAGTGTAGTGGTTTCATTTTCTCACCTGCACACTATGAAATGAAGACCTTGAGGAGATTTATTAATTGTAATTCATTTCTCTTTCAGGTGAGAGTGAATTGGGACACAGGTGAACAAGCACTCCTTTCTGAGCAAAGACTTCGTGTGGACAACTTGGCTTGGCATTTGGTGGAATTGTACTGTGTTCAGGAAAATATTTTCTTGGTTATTGACAAATATTATGAGACAACTGGCCAAATAGTTGGTGGGATACATAATTTCAACTTTCACCACGGAGTCTATGTTGGAGGCCGCCATGGGGGACTCCATGTCCCTTACCTAGATGGCAAGATCCCCAACTTCCGTGGATGTATGCAGGATGTGATGTTGAACCAGAGGGAGATTCTGATGTCCCTTAGATCATACCCTGGATTTAAGAAGATCCACGAGGTTTCCCTGGGATGCAGCGATGAGTTTTTTGCTGGGGAGGATGAGGCCATCAATTTCTTTAGCTCTAGATCCTATGTCGCCTTTCCAGAATGGAAGGTACATGGAGAAGGGCGATTAGGATTTGCTTTGCGAACTGGAATTCAGCAAGCCTTACTTTTATTTCAGTCAGGTAGAGAAGAAAGTTTCGTTGCCTTGGAAATACATGAAGGTCGGTTGAAAGCTCATGTAGGAAGGAGTAAAAATAAATCTCAGCTTTCTTCTCATAGCTTAGTTAGTGACAACAAGTGGCATGTTATTCACCTCAAATTCACGGGGAGGTATCTACACCTCATGGTAGATAAAGAAGGGGTGAGGCTGCTGCTGTCTTCACAAAGCGTACCATTTGTATCTGATGGCCCTCTGTTTGTGGGAGGTCTCCATGACCAAATGTGGGAGCAGGTGAAGAGGTTAGAGCTGGCCTCTGTGAAATCTGCTCGAAGAATAATCTCTTTGAAAGGGTGCTTACGAAGCCTGGAAGCCAATTCAGAAAAGAGAGCATTAAGGGATGCTCTTGTTTCCAAAGACATTTCTACTGGATGCAAAGCGAAGGCTATCACCGATGCAAATCTTTCTTGGACTGCAGCAACAAGCCAGCTTCCATCAGAGCCATCCCATTCCACTTCAGTCCCCCGAGCCATCAAGCCTTTACTTCCACGGAAAAGTAGCTACGTTTTGGTTTTAAATAACTTGGAGGTCCAAGAAGGTGGACGAGCCTTACTAGAAGAAAAGCATATGATGGTGAATGTGAAACTTAACAATTTGAGTATCAATTATTCTCAAATACTATTTAAAATAGAGGACATGCCTACTCATGGGTTGCTTCAATTAGATGTTTCACCTCAGCAAGAAATGGAAAAAGTTTTCACTATGTTAGATTTGTGGCAAGGGAAAGTGTGGTACATACATGATGGTTCAGAAGGTCTTACAGATTATTTCACATTTTTTATCTATTCCAGCACCAAGCAGGAAATACCATTATATCAGCAGGACTGTGTTCCACACGTGTTTAACATTACTGTCATTCCAGTGAATGACCCCCCGCATCTTAAACTCCCAGAAGGTAACTTGTTTCTCCTGTTTGAGAACTCTAAAAAGCAACTGACAACAAATATAATCCAGGTGTCAGACCCGGACACTGATTCTTTGAGTCTTAGTTTCTCAGTTCTTGGCAACTTCAATGCAGAGGCTGGGTATTTAGAAAATGCCAATGATCCTGGGGAAATCATTCATGGATTTACCTATTTGGATTTAAAAAACGGCCGTGTGTTCTATGTGCACAGGGGTCATCAAAACGCTCGGATTGTTTTGAGAGCCAGTGATGGTGAGCTAGTTAGCAATATCGGAGTATTACGAGTTATGGCTCTTCCATGGGATTTTGAAGTGGCCCACAGAACTGGTGTGGCTGTTCTACAGGGTGGCACTGTTCTGATTACCCAGGGTAATTTGTCTGTGGAGGTGAATGGGGAGCAGCATGAGATGGAGACTCATTATATTATTACTCGCCCACCTCAATTTGGCCAAATTGAGTATCAGGGGTCAAATGGAGGATGGAAACAAGTTAATACCTTTTCTCAGCACTCCATTGACCAGAGTCAGGTTAGGTATCATAGTACATTCAAAGATCTGCAGCAAGAAAACATTACAGATCACTTTAAGTTTAAAGTTCATGTAGAAGGAAAAATGAGCAAAGAGCTCATGTTTCCTGTGACTATACAATGGTTGAAGTTCACACTTCTGAAGAATGTGCCTCTAGAGATCAGGAATACACACAAACAAGTATTAAATGCTGATCATTTGCAGGCTGCAACAGAAGGTGTGGAAGTAGCCGAGAGGGAATTACATTTTAAGTTGCTGACCCCACCTAAGAAAGGAAAATTGCTACTCGGCAGGGAAGTTCTTAAAAGAAACTCAATCTTCAGCCAGAAAAATATTACAGACTCTAAGATCAGTTATGAACCTCAGGAGAGGCCGAGAGAAGACTCACAGGACAGTTTCAAGTTTTTGATTCTTGCCGAACACATAGAATCAAAAGAGTATACTTTTGGGATAAATTTCAAGGCAAATAAGTCACACATTACTTTAACAAACAAAAAACTATTTGTAAAAGAGGGAGAAAGGAAACTGATTACAAAATCAGAATTGTTTGCTCAAACCTGGGACAATCAGAGTTTCCAATATCAAGTCACCCAGAATCCTCAACATGGAAGGCTGACATTGATGAACTTTCTTGAGTCTCTGGAAAGTCTGGACAATATTACTACATTCACTGATCAAGACATCTTGGGCGGACGACTCATGTATATTCATGATGACTCTGAGACGCGGTGTGATGAATTCTTCCTGGTGGCCTCTACCGAACGTCCAGACCAAGAGGGCATGGCTGGGGATCTTGACCCAGAGCCCTTGTCTACAGAAATCAAAGTCAGAATTTCTGTGGAGTTGAAGAATGATGAGAGGCCAGTGCGTGTAGTGGATAAAGTATTTCATGTTGTGCGGGGCAGCCAGCGCCTACTGACCCTGGGCGATCTCTGTTACCATGACCCTGACGTAGATTTCGATGATGGACAGCTGCTGTACATTCGACGAGGCATCCCCAATGGGGACTTGGTCCGAGCCAGCCACCCCATGCAAAAGCTCCACCAGTTCCGGCAGGAGGACCTGCAGGAAGGGCGAGTGCTCTTCAAGCACCAAGGGGCTGACTCTGCCCGCTTTGTGCTGTTTGTGACAGATGGTGTCCATTACACACCATCCCTTCTTGAGGTCAGTGTGTCAGAGCCCTATGTCCACATAGTCAGCAACACAGGGCTGCTGGTACAGAGGGGAAAAGGCAGTTATCTCACCACAGCAAACCTGAGTGTCACCACAAATCAAGATGTGCGAACAGATCTGGAGGTAGAGTTTCATCTCGTGGGGCCTCCAAAGCATGGCAGAGTCCTGGTCAACAATTCTGTATCCTACTTGTTTTCCCAACATGACCTGAAGCAGAGATGTGTGATGTATAAGCATGATGGTGGTGGCAACTTTGACATATTCAACCTGTCAGTGAGAGTTAAAGATATAGACTTGGTAGTGGGGGTCCACGTGTCTTTAGAAGATCATCATCAGCTAGCTCAGATTCTGCACAGCAAGACATTTGTAGTTGAAGAAGGAAAACCTATCAAATTGAGCTTTCAGGTAGGTGTTAAGCTAAGATTGAGCATTCTTATCTCTTACAACCACAGGGGCCAAAAATCTATTTATTTGCTTCTGAAATGTATTTTTGTGTCTATTGTATATGTGTATGTAGGAGTATTTATTTTTTATTCTCTTCTGGCATTAGTAGCAAAGGTGCACCATTGAAAAGAAAAGTTGGAAGGCTTCATGAGTTTGGTGCTATCAATTTTCCTACAATTGACAGTGGTTTTGTTTAGTTTCTTGAAGCTGATGGATGAAATTAGCCTAGAACAGTGGTATACCAGGGATGGGATCAAAGCTACCTAGTTTCCTCAGGTACTTACCTGAAAACTTGGTGTAGACACAGCCTTGTGGGTCAGGGTGTTCTTTTTTGGGTAATTCTGTGTAGGGTCAAGGGTGAGTAAGTTGATTGATGATAGCTGACCATAAAAAGCAAACTATTCTCAATCTACCTTCAGGACTGCAAACAAGATTACTAACTTCAACAACTATTACCAAATAGAAAAGAATCCCAATTAGAATCTTAAGATAGTTCCTGTGTAAGTTTTGCCACTAGGGGGCATATACATTCTAGTGACTGCAAATCAGTTGTAATCACATTTTGTGATGGATTTTGCTGAATCCGTAAATTAAAACTGTATGGAAAGTGCTGATCTACCTAAAATGGGGAAGAAAAAATTTTCCTCTATGTCGTTAAAATGTTAGTGATTCAACTTCCATTTTCCCCTATATTCTGTTGTTTTTCTTAGAACATTTTATTTCCTTCACCAGAATTTTCTGAGTGCTGAGTTTTTGCTGCTCTGTGTCATTGCTTGTTATTGCATTTTGTAGCTACTGTAGTGTTGTGGCCCATTGTTTTTCTTTCTTTGTGATCAGGGCTGATATTTAAAGGACTGACATAGACACCAGATCAGAACTAGGCTTCTAATCGTAATCTAAGGCATTGTGGACATTGATAGAAAACAATTTAGTTTATCATATTGTTGACTCATATTTTCTAATATGTTTTTCTTTGTGTGTATGAACTCAAGGCTGGGAACAAAGACAATCTTCCTTCAGAACTAGTGTTCATAGTCCGAACTCCACCTATGTATGGATATCTCCAGAAATCTACACAAGAAGGCAACGATATGGGTACAGATGCAAAGTTCCTTTTGAGTTTTACCCAACAGGACATGGATGATGGCATTATCCTTTATGTACAGACAGATCCTGGCCAACAACAGGATCACATTTTTCTGGATGTGACTGCTGGTCCCCATGTGTTAAGTGAAGTAGAAATCCTGTTGGACATCATCCCTAAGTGGATTCCCCTGGAGGTACAGAACTTTACAGTTCTAGAAGGTGGATCCAGGGCACTTCTGAAAGACTACCTCAAAATTCCTGGCAAATACTTTGAGACAGTTGACTGTGAATTTGTTCTACTTGAACCACCAAGACATGGAAATGTCGAAAGTTCTAATTTTCCAAGAGAGAAGTTAATGAAATTTACCAGGAAACAGGTAATTAATCTCAGTGAATGCATTTGGCAATGTTACAACTGAGAAAACACATTGAGTATCATTTAGGCTTTAGACGTGATGGGATCTTGAAGGTTATTTGGTCCAGTCCCATCAAATATCCAACCATTACTTGAACATCTTCAGTGATGCTTATTCTTTAGGCTGCTATAGTATTTGGTATTGGAAATCTCCCCTAGACCCTGGCTGTAGTAGACCACAGAATAAATCATACTTCTCTTCATGAAAGCTTTTTCAATATTTGGAAGAAAACATCATCCAATTTCCCCGAATTTTGTTTTCTATAGATGACACTCTTCTAGTCTTCTAACTTTTGCAGATTTACCATGAGTTTACTGGACCACCCTGACTACTCAGTTCTTTATAAGTACCATATTACTACACCCAATATTTTGCTATTTGGGGAATTTTAACTCATTTGTTTCCTTATTCAGATGTTTATAGAGTACATAGTCTGTCAGGCCCTGTGTCTGGCATATCGGTGTTCAGTATCAGTGTTCAAAGTGGCTGAGTTCTTGCAATCAATGAAATGGATTCAACTTCTGATCTGAAGTCCAGTCAGCTTAAATTAACCAAGATTGATTCTAGCATGCTATCAGGTTTATTAATTGTGAGACAGACTAGTATTGTTGTTGGATTTTACTTTCTTGTTTACTTCCTTAAAAAATTTTGAGAAGTAGTTTGTAGTTCTCCACCATAAACCTCTAGTAATACATGCTGTGTTGGTACTGGGGCTTGAACTCAGGGTCTGGGAACTGTCCTTTAGCTTTTTTTGCTAAATGCTAGCATTCTATAACTTGAGACATACTTCTAGTTCCAGCTTTTTGCCGGTTACTTGGAGACAAGAATCTCATGAATTTTTCCTGTCCAGGCTAGCTTCAAACTGTGATCCTCAGGTCTTAGCCTCCTGAATAGTTAGGAATACAGGCATGGGCCACTGGTGCTCAGAAAGACCAAAACTTTATAACATGTCACAGTTTCCTACAAATTTGTTGTGTTCTTTAATTTCAGGCCAGCAGACCCATCTCCAATGCATTGGCCTTCAGATTAATATTAAGTGATTCATAATTTTGGAACATGTCCTTTAATTGCTGAAATGATGTTTTTCTCCAGGAAGGTTAACCTAGAGATGATTGCTAATTAAACACTATTGCTTTTAAAGTGTTTTTCACTTAAATCTTTTCTCATATTTTGATCAATGCCACTTTCCATGTTTGTTTTCAAATAGCTTCAGATAGTGTGCAGGCTTATACTGTGGAATTTTTCTGTCCATGAATTCCAAAGAATTTCTTGTAGCATCTGTGTTTGAATGGCCACAAACTTCCTTTGAGAACCTAACTGAATTTTTCAACCTTTGTTAAAAACATATCTGAGCTATCAAAAAACTACTCTAAGAAAATGTGTCACTGGAATCATCAAAGTTGAGCTGCTAAAAATTTTGGCTGTATTTTATTAATACAAACACAATCCCAAGAGGCTTTTTTTTGACACAAACACAATAGGTTTTTTATTGTTAAATTACTAGGGTACCATAAGCAGAGCTAAAAGTAAAAGGATTGATCTATTTGTGCATTCACATTTTCATGTCCAAGAGGCTTTTTCCTGAAGTTTAGCAACTCCTTTTGGGATTTGGGAGTTCTTTGCTAATATATGTTTGGATCACATATTCACCCAAACTAAGTACCCCTCTCACTCTAAAATTCTCTTGCTCTGATTTTGGTTGTGTTCTCTTTTGTATTTGTACCAGGGTCTTAGAGTCATGAAAGGCATTCTGATCAACATTGTCGTTGTTACAGTGCAAGAGAAATAACTAAGTCATTGGATGACTATTTCAGAATGAAAATTAAAATGATGATATCTCACAGGGATAAAAATATTTGCATTTGAATTGTTATAGTTAGGGAGAGCTGCTTTGATAGGATGATTTGATCTCAAAGTATCTGAAGGTCAGTTTGTCCATAGGAGATTCATGGTAGCTAGTCATGAATAGTATCCCTTATGAGATGCACGAATCTCCCAACCACATATATGCCAAAGGAAAAGGAGCAGGATTAGGAGGCAGAAGATAATTACCTAATATATGACAAGTAAAAGACTAATATATTCTTACTTAGAAAAAATACTGAAGGGAACTTAATAGTTTCCCTGGTTATTATGTCTTAAAGGAGAGAAGTTTCAAAGCCTAGCTCTAACTACTGACAATTCAGATTGTCCAACAAAGCAATCAGCAACTTCAAAAATTATTCATTTGAAATAATCAAGGAGAGCACAATCTGCATTGTGGCGTTCCATTGATGAGAAGGCTCAATTCTGTTATTGCATCATGCTTTAGAGTTAGGAATGGCATTTGAACCCAACTCTTCAACATTCTCTTCACTACACACAAAGTTCAATCATTCATTAGCTCCTTACATTCACTTGCTAGATGTAGTGTTATTTCAGAAAATGTATACTATCCATCACAATTCACTCTCTGATTATCAGACTCAGACTGCACTGGATGAGGACATGCTTTCACATTTTCAAGAGATTCTTAAAGTGAGGATTTCTTTTATAGTAACTTATCAAAATGTAGACGCTCATTTTATCAAGTTGATGATTTTTGTTGTTGTTGGTTTTAGGTGGAAAAAGAATTGATTTATTATGTTCATGATGATAGTGAGGAGCTTCTGGACAATTTCACCATCTTTGCAAATAGCTCAGCACTTAGGAAACAGAGTATACCTCAAACTATCTTTGTGACTGTTGAATCTGTAAATGATGAAGCTCCAGTAATAACAGCCAATAAAGTCCTCCAGGTAAATAATGCATGTTTTAGACTTCACAAGAGAACCTTGGGGTATCAAACTGATTATCATTTCTATTGTTTATGATACTAAATGTACATGTGTATGTAGTTGACATATTCCCACTGGCTTAAAAATACATTACTTTTTTACCAGTACCTGTTGGGTACCTGTTGGGAGATGGTGAAGAATCCCATTGGTTTTCTCCTTGTTGTATTTGTCAAGTGGGAAGCAATCACATTGTCCTCAATGAAGCATAGGATTTTCAAGGTGGGTGAGGAAGGTGTCTATATGGGTCATTGATCACCAGGCAGATGGCATGATGGGTAAGAGAGCAGGTTTGTGGTAAACAGATCTGGGTGAGAGTCCCTGCTTCCTACTTTCAGACATGCAACCTTGACCAAGTTATTGACCTCCTAAATTTGCGTTTGTTCGGGTTGAAAGGAAGCAGGAGGAGGCAGAGTTGTGAGGAGTAAATGTTAAGATGATGTAAGGCTCTCACATATCCTTATATATAGGTAGTGCTCAATGAATTTAAAAAATAGGACTCACCATTTTGGAGGTAAAATAAGGCTATCACACAATGGTATGACGGTAAATTGTTAGACTGGGAGCTTCAATCCCTCTTCACTCTGGGAATCCCTCAAAGTTAGTTTCAGGTGTCTACAGATGCAAGTCTCTGGATCTAGAGTTCACTTGAGGTAGTATCTGCTAAGATGTTTCTGCTGCCAGCACTAAGAGGCGATTGAGCCCACCAGCCCTCCAGCAGTGGTTCTGGTGAACGCATGTGTTGTAGTTTACACTCAAGCAAGCCAAAGCTTTCATTCAATACATTTTCTTGGTTTTAACTTATACTTTATGTCCCATTTTCTAAAAAATTGGGCATGAACAAATCTAGCTTGGAGAACAATGATAACAATCATAATAGTAAATGTCCATCAAAAAGTACTAGCTATCAGTACATGGCAGAAGCTACTGTTATTATTGGATGAGGTCACCATCACGGTTAAATGCCAGGCTCAGGATAGAACAGCACAGACTGGTGACTTACTTATATATGCTGCTTTTATCTGTGCCTATGCAGAGGTAAAGGAAATATTTGTTGAAGGAATGAATAAATGAAAGTATAAACTGTCAATTTCCCCAACACTGTTCATGTTTTTCTAAACAAGGCTTTTGCCTCGATTCTTTCTTCCTTTGTTGTGGCTGTGTTTCTGGGAGAATCTCTAGCCTTCTACATGCAGAACCTCTAGTAGATTTATTTACTCATCCAGCATCTAGACATGGGAATCTGAATGTGTTTACCTTGCAATCTGATTAAGAGAAATAGTCCTACATATGTTTTTAGCCTTGCTTATACCACTTAGAAGGGAAAAGAGTAAACAAAAGATTCTGTGGAAGTTGAAACAAAGCTGGGGGGTCAGAGCAGAAAATGCAGGGCTGAGGTTCCATCTGGTGCTGGCGCTTGTCCTTGGGTGGGAAGAACTTGAAAATATAGAGAGGAATTTCTTTTGTTGTCATATTGACTGGGACTGGAAGATGCTACTGGATTTAATGCCAAAGGACCAAGAGTGCTTTAATATCTTATACTATGTTGTTAAGTTCTATAAAAAATGCTCCACTCAGATTGGCAATAACATCCTGTTAAGAAACACTCCAGGTCAAGAACATGCAATTATGATCCATGGGTCTAACCAGGCTAACTTTCTGCTTATGTATATGGTCTACCAGTTCAGAACGATTTTTTAGTGCTGGTCTTGGGGCTTGAACTCAGGGTCTGGGTGCTGTCTCTGAGTTTTTTTGCTCAAGGTTAGCACTCTTACCACTTGAGCCACAGCTTCACACACACACACACACACACACACACACAAACTGAGCTAGGCTAAAAGTTTATGTAAGGGACATATGAAAACAAATAATTGTAGAAAGATGATCTTCCTGTGCCATCAGGAAGATGAGTACTGGGAGACTCATATGAGGGCTGAGCTGATCCCCGGCAAACTTTTCTGCATAGCTGATGGGAGGTGGCATGTGTCTGCTGCCCGCTCTAGGTTTGTTCTAAGAACAACATGCAGTAATCTGGTATTATTCACATAACCCTGAGACTCAGTTCTGTCTCAGGCTGACTTGTACGGCAGAGACCAGGCACTACAGGAGAGTCCTTCCTGATCTCTGGTTAATGAACTTGATAGGTTCTTTGTGCTTCCTTTTTAGCTGCTTCTCAGTCCACATTCTCCCTATCCCCCTCCCCAACACAGGCACTTACTGCAGTCATTCCAACTGAGCTTACTCTGAAAAGGCATCTAAGTAGGCTGTTGGCTGGAATGATGAATCTTAGCTGTTACAGCTACATTATATACAGTTATACAAGTTCACATTTATTGTGTGTTTACAGAGCATGGCCTCTTCCATAACTAATACTATTTTCACAGACCTTCCAAGGAGCTGCTATGATTCAAAACTTTATTAATCAGAAAGGAAAGACACTGAGGCACAGAGTGGTTATAAGGGAAGAAGCAGGCCTGAAGCCAAGTCTCACCACCATGCTCTGACACCTTTCCCATTACTCCTGACTGGCTGAGCTCTTCTGCACGTGCATATCATCACAGGATGTTTTTATTAGTAAGAAAAAAGCCAAAACCTTTCCAAAGCTTCTGTGCTGCTCTTGCTCCTGTACAAGTGGCTTTTAAGGAACCAGGTGTATGGCAGTTGAACCCATACATGGGGCTTTCCAGGTATTTCAGGAGAAGGTTTGATGCTTTGCTGCATGGTGAAGAACTACAGGATAAGAATTGTTTAGTGAATGAAAAGGTCAAAATCTAAGAAGATAGACATGAAAGACTGAAGTTGGCTGAGGAAAGAGAACTAAGAAGAAAGGCTATGTTGGGCTCAGCTTTAATTTGCAAGGTTCCCCTGGTTGTAAAATGAGCTATCAATGTATTCACAGCTTTATTATGTTCAATATACCTGTCCATTTAAGATGCCCACATTCAAATGTAAGGCAGAAATGCATGCACTAGACTTTTCATTCCTTTAGAATTAGGGAAATGTATTTTCTAATATGGCTGTGAGGCTGCTCTATAGGTCTTTGCAGACTGCCTCCCTACAACATTAATACAAGAGTATGTTGTGTCAAGACAAAAAATAAAGGATAAAATAGGTAAGGTATCTATAGGTAAGGACCATGTTCTTTTTCTTCCCTTGTTACCAGGGCAGTGAGCATCCAGCCAGTAAGTATACAACTTCCTGGTTTTGAGATATGTGTGACTTGATGTTGGTGCTTTCTGAATTTATTCTCTTATTTATCTTATAAAAGAAAACATGTTTTCGTCTTTGAAGAGTTTGGATTAAAATTAGGAGATTGGAGTTCTAGAAACCGTATTTGTCGACTTGAGTAACATCTCACTGGATTTCATTTTCTTTAGTTGCAAAGCCCCAGGAAGGGTTGGTTTTGCTTGGTGATCTCCCACTTCCCTCGAAATCCTCTGTGATGGTATGGCCCTGAAGCCTTAGTGCTTCATATTCTGTGGTCCGGTACAATTGGCCTTGGATAGATAGAGAAGTTGCATCACCACCTGTCCATGAAAATCTGTCCATAGAGAGATGTTTTGGTTCATTTGACAAACAAAATTGTTTCCTCTTTGTTTACATTATTACTGACATGAATAGATCCTTTTGGAGTTTATTGATTTCTAGTCATATGGTATAAAACTTAGTTGGAGGGCTTCTCTATAAGTGTGTGCTACTGCTGCTCTCAAATCTGATTGGACTATGGCTCTCCAGGACACATTCTCAGAGACCTTCCCTGACCCCAGAGGAAATAGCACTGTGCTGTTTTCTGTCTCTGGAACCTAATTTCATTTTCTTTTTAGTGCTCAGCATCCCATAATATTAAACAAAATCTCTTTTCTGTCTCTTCCCATAAGTGCAAGCTTCATTTGGAATGGACTTTGCCTAATTCCCTTTGGCATCCTTAGCACCTGGTATATTATCTAGAGGTTCAATAACTACTGGATGATCCTTATGTAACTTACAGTCCACAAGGATGACAATAAGAGTGTGTTTTGAATGGAGTGGTTATCACCCCACATCTCTGTAAAGCACTTGAGAAGGTGGAAGTCATTGATATTTCAGGTCCATTTGAAAGGAGGGCTGTGTATAAGAGATACCAAGACCACCCTCCTGACTTGTTGATATGCGAGGACACACAGAATCAGCATACTCATAGTTTATATGTATTTCAGCATCGAGTAGGAAGCAAAATCAGTAAATAAAAAAGGCTTCAGAGTAAAGTCTTGAGGACAGTATGTCAATCTCTGAGAATGCTTTACCAGTGAAGTCACACAGGGAACATGTAAATATCCAGAAAGTTGTGACAACACCTGCAAAGTATTTTTTTTTTAACCAAGGAAGCTATTTGATGCTGAGAACTGGGATTTTTTTTTTTTTTTTGGTGACAGAGGTGAGGGGCAGGGGGAAGTTTAGACAGGTGTGTACCCTCTATAGTATGTTCCAAAATCTCAGACTTCCAAGAGGAAAGCAAGTGTCTCACATAACCATATGGATTGTACAAACAGTTTTAGATCCAGTGAGCCAATCTGATCTTATAAGAACAGTTTAGAAAATTGTTCAACGGTCAAGTTCCCAAATGTCAGGCAATGTCACCAAGGTCACAGCAGAAAGGAAAAGCAGTGTGTTATCTCCTCTTAACTCTTTCCTGAATGAAGATGAAGAAGGATAAAGCAATTAGAGGATTCACTCATATGAATATTAGAGGGAAGGGCATTCCTGATGGAGGAACATTCCAGAACAAAGGGAGTGAGTGTGGGGTGAGCCTGGCATGTCTGAAGGTATGAAGTGACGGGAGCAGATGGCGGGAGGAGAACAGTGATAGATTATTAGGCTCCATGGTGAGAGCTGGTTTCTAGGCGTAACGACCCCCAGCGCCACGCAATTTTGTCTCATCAAGCTTTCAGAGATAATGATGGGGAAGCAGCAAGCACTCACTGAGC